ATCCACCATCCACCCCTCCATTCATCCCCCATCCATCTATCCATCCATCTACCGACCCATCCACCTATCTATCCATCCTTCCACATATCCATCCATCCATCCATCCATCCATCCAGTCATCTACCTACCCATCCTCCCACCCACTCAGCCACCCACCTACCCACTCATCTATGAATCTTTCCTTTTTTCCTTCGACTCATCAACTGTCCCATCCATCCACTCATCCATCCGTCCATTCATCCATCTATGGATCACAAACCATTCACTCCTCACTCAGCCACTCACCCCCCACCTATCCTGTTCACCCATCAGCTCAAACAGTCAACCGCTGGGGAGTTGGAGATTTGACTGTCCTTTTTCCAAGATCCCAGTCTGGTGGGGCGGTTAGAGGCAGGTGCAGACCACCCCGCCTCAGCGTGTTGACATCCAGAGTCGGGACAGCCCAGGCTGCAGGGCTCAGGAAGGGCTCGAGGCTCTACCCCGGACGGTGTGGGGAAGGTGGAGGGAGGAGGGTGTCTCAGGAAGGCATGCTTGGTCCTGGGTCGAGCTTGGGCAAAGTCCTAGAGGCTTGGACAACAGAGCGCGCACGCATGGAGGAGGAAAGGGAGGGAGAGGCACCTGGGCTGCCTGCAAAGCGCTGTGAAGTCCGGGGCGCATGTGGGCAAGGGGGAGCCATGCTGGGTCTCTGAGCAGGTGAGGACATCAGTGCCGTACTTCCTTCTCCACCCTGACAGGTCTGGAGGTGACGCCAGGCCCCGGGACCTACAGCCCAGAGAAGGCACCCCCCATGCGCCATCGGACACCCCCGGCTTTCACCCTGGGCTGCCGCCTCCACCCGAAGCCCCTGGACACCTCGGCCCCTGCCCCTAACGCCTACACCATGCCCCGTCTATGGGGCTCACAGATCTTCATCAAGCCCAGCAGCCCCAGCTACACGGCGGCGGGCCGCACACCCCCTGCCCGCCCCCCCCAGGATCCCGCCGAGATACCCGGCCCGGGCCAGTACGACAGCCCCGACCCAAACGCATACCGCCCACGCCTGCCTGCCTTCACGATGCTGGGGCGGCCCCGGGCCCCGCGGCCCCCGGAGGACACACCCGGCCCCGGCACCCACTGCCCCGAGCAGGTCACGGTGAACAGGGCCAGGGCACCTGCGTACTCCATGGGCACCCGCCACTCGCCCCGGGCGCGCGCCATGGCCGCTGCCACGCCCGCACGGCCGCCAGGGCTCAGGTTGCCTGGCCGCTGCTGCTAGGCCAGGCCTGTTTGGCCAAGGTGAACGGGGAGTGGGCGGCGGGGCTGCGAAAGGCGTCTCCCCTCCCCTTTCCTGAGCTGTCCCAGGTCCTTCTAGGACACCCAATCCTTCCAGTCCCTGTGGGCTGTGACCCGTGGCCCGGTGCAGGGTGCAGGGTGAGTCTCCTGCCAGTGCCCCAGTTTCTTCCGGTCACCCCAGAAGAAAGGCCAGGCCAGGCAGGAAAGAGACACCTTCCGGACCTCCCCAGCAGCTGGCTGCAGACGAAGCTTCCCATGCCCTAGAAGTCCACGTCCAGCCCCACCAGGGCCTGGGGCCCCGTCTCGGCTTGGGTTGGTGCCACATTCGGGCCCTTCCTGGTCTTGTGGAAACGTGGCCACCGGCCCTGGTCTGGGCCCAAACTCAGGCAGGAGGCAGCTCCAAGGCCCGTGCCTTCCTCCCTCCACCTTCTAGAGTTGCTTATCCAATAAACCTCTCCAGGGACGGAGAGCTGTCAACATCACACGTGCTGGTTCATTAAGTGTGTCCTGAACGCTGCCCTCCAGAGCCAGACCCATAATCTGCCAGTGCCCAGGGAGTCTGAGAGACCAAAAGAGAGACCCAGGGCTAGGGGAGGCCAGAGATGGAGTGAAGCTTTGGAGTGGGGAGCCAGGGAGGCTTCCTGGAAGACGGAATATCAAAACTGGGTTTTGAAGGATGTATAGGAGCTCAATGTATTCTAATATCTGCTATCTGTTGCTGCTTGCTGTGTCTTGGATGTTAATAAAGACCAACTATGCTTCATAGCAACTCAAGACCAGCTGGCATTTACTGAGAGAAACGGTGCTTGGCAGAGACTGGACCCTAGTCCTGAAACATGCTGTGAGCCCCCACCTCAGTCTGATGTCAGGATTTGAACCCTGGACCTTGGACTCAGTTCCTGCCATTCTCTCCTAGGGACAGGAGGAAACACATGGGTGGTGCCGTGTGACTGAGCCCTCTGTGTGCCAGGGAGGGAGGGCACCTGGGTCACCCTACCAACCTCCCATCCAGCAAGGCCCTCACCCCGAGTTTGGGGGGTCTCCCTGAAGGAAGCGGCCCGGGAGGCCTGCAGCGGGCAGAGACGGGGTGGTGGGGCCGCCAAACCCGAACCCCACTTCACCCACTAGGTCAGCGCACGCCAGGACCCCTGCAGCCTGGATCCCCGCCTAAGCCCGGACACGCGCCCGGACACAGCGTCCACCCTGCGCGTCACACACACAGCGCGCAAGTCCGGCGGCGGCTCCGAGCCCGGCCGAGGGCGCCCACGATCCGCTCCTCCCGCGGCCGCGCGCGCCTCCCTCCCGCCCCTCCCCCGCCTTCCCGGCCCCGCGCGCGGCGCCGGCCGTGATCTCATCCTCTGATTTATCGATCAGGCTCCGGGCAGCCTCGCCCCTCCCTCCCCACCTGCCAGCGCGTCCCGGCCCCTCCCTTTGTTCCCGGCAATGGGTCCAGCGTGGGGCGGGGCGGGGGGGGCTCCGGCCGAGTCGGGCCAGGAGGCTGCGTCCCGGGGTGACACTGACACCCCGTTTTCTGGCGCAGAGGACCCGACCCTTGAGGCCAGGGGAGCCGCGGCACATCTCGGAGACGCCGGAGGCTGGGGACGGAGCAGCCGTTCGGCCTGGGAAGCTGAGGCCCGAGCTGGCGCGGGATGGGCTCCCCAGGAGCGAGGGAGGAAGGGCCGCGCCCCTGCAGCCCGCTCCCCTGGGTTACGGCCGGAGAAACTGAGGCCGGCACAGGCCTCAGAGCAGGACCCCTCACTCCCGGGTCTGACGCTGCGCTGTGCGCCCTTGGCCGCGCCCCTTCCCCTCCCCAGGCCTCAGTTTCCCCACTAGGAAATAGGGAATGACCCCGAGGTGTCTTCTGGCTGGAACGATGGAGAGCGAGGGGTGACCGGAGGGCCTGGGGTTCCCTTTCTCCCTGGCCGCGCCTCCTCAGGCCTCAGTTTCCCCGCAGTCAAGGGGAAAGAAGGGATGTGATCTGTAAGCCTCTCCAACTCCGTCCTCCTAGGAACCAGGGCGGCGGGCGGGGTCGGGGGGCGCAGCGGGGAGGGTCGCTGCGGGGGTCCCGGGTTCGAAGCCCCGACCCTCCTCGGCTGCCGGCTCCGGGCCAGCGCCCGGTGTCCTCGGAGGGCCTCAGTTTCCCCGGCCTCGCGGCCAGGCGCCGGGACCAGGAGGGCCGGGGTCCCAGGGGCGCAGCCCCCCGCGGCTGCGCGCTGGGCCGGGCGGATGACATCACGGGCCGGGGCGGGCGGGGCGGGCGGAGCGGGCGGGCCTCCTCCGCGGTAGGCGCAGCCCCGGTCGGGCTCCGTCGGGCGGCCGCGGCCATGACGCAGGGTCCGGGCGGGCGCGCGCCCCCGGCGCCCCCGGCGCCCCCCGAGCCCGAGGCGCCCACCACCTTCTGCGCGCTGCTGCCCCGGATGCCGCAGTGGAAGTTCGCGGCCCCGGGCGGATTCCTGGGCCGCAGCCCGGCGGCGGCGCGGGCGGCCGGGGCGGCCTCGGGGGGCGCGGACCCCCAGTCGGAGCCGGAGGGCCCGGGGGGCGTCCCGGCGCTGGCGGCCGCCGTCCTGGGCGCCTGCGAGCCCCGCTGCGCCGCGCCGTGTCCGCTGCCCGCGCTCAGCCGCTGTCGGGGGGCCGCGGGGGCGCGGGGAACGCGGGGCGCGCGGGGGGCGGCCGGGCCCGGGGACGACGCCGCGGCCGAGTGGGTCCGGAAGGGCAGCTTCATCCACAAGCCCGCGCACGGCTGGCTGCACCCCGACGCCAGGGTCCTGGGGCCCGGGGTCTCCTACGTCGTGCGGGTGAGTCCCCCGAACCCCGAACCCCGAACTGCTCGCGGGGCCGCCCCTCCCCCGCGCGCTTCCCCGGGACCCCTGGACCCCCATCCCCGGCCGGCGCTGGGGTCCGATTCCCACGGCGTCACGTGGGGAGGGCGGGGAGGGCGGGGGAGGGGGACGCGCGTGCGCAGCTTCACCGCCCCCATCGGATTGGCGAGCGGGGCCCGAGAGCGGGGCCGGCTGGGGGGGTCCCGGAGAGCGCTTCGCGGACCACGGGCGGAGCCGGGACCCTGCGCTGCGGCGGGGAGGGGGAGGGGACGCGGAGGGGGGAGGGGTCGCGGAGGGGGAGGGG